AATACTCTAGGAATAAAAAATCGAAGGCAATTGATTTCATTGATTAGCTATTAGAGTTACTTTGGTATACTAATGATAAATCCAATTTGATTTAGGTCACTTTGTTGTCACTCTAATACTCTTCTAATATTGTACTAAAGCAAAGAATAAAAATAGATAATTGATCTAATTAGAATATATTCAGCATATTTTCTATTTTTCAGAATATTTTATTTAAAAAATATACCATTAGATAAATAGGAAAGTCCAAAAAGTACAATCCTTAAGCAAATTAAATAATTATTTTTTTTATCCCTTTTTATGAATAAACTGCAGTTTATTAAAGTAATCTAAATACTAATTAAAAGCCTTTAAGATAATAGTGAATTAAAAATTGTTTAAATTACTTTAAGTTGTTGCTTATATAAGTTAAGGTATCATCATCCCAAAGCATTACTTAATGGCATCTGTTCTTACAGAAGCCATTAAGTAAGGTTTTGGGAAGAAGAGAGAAATCTGGGTGAATGAAAATCGAATCTGAATGGTGATGATGGAAATTTGATGCCTTCTCTAATGAATGACAATGTGTTAAATATTAGCTTTAAAGTTATATTTAATCTCTGGAAGTTGAAATTTTCTGCTGCTACCCGGATATTTGGAAATCGTATAAACATTTATTTATTACCAACTACATTTAGAAAGAAATAAGATAAATAAATTTTATTTATTCTAATAATGGACAGGCAATAATCACGAATTTAAGAAAATATGAAGATTTGCTATTAATCCTTTAAAAATTGATTGATCCATTAATTATTGTTGATATAAAGTAAGCTTAAATGAAAGTTATTCTTATTTTTAGAAAAATTATGAATATTATTCTAAAAAGTATAAAATAAAATGNTTTTACATAAAATGTTAAAAATTCAAATATAATTAAATCTTATTTTATTTTTACTTAAGTTAATCTATCTAACAACAAAATTATTATTCATTTTCAGGAAGTTTTAGATATGTTCATTTTATACACTCATGTCTGATGACATGAATTCTACATTAGCTTATTGACTGTTAAATAATAGTTTTATTGCAATAATGTACCGTATGTTGGTTCCCATATAATTTGCCATATGTTAATGTAGAGCATTTAATTCATTTAATTTTTCTTTTCTATATTTATTTCACTCAAGTTAGACTTTCCCTTTTGCAAATTATATATTTTTAATAAAATTATTTTTAAATTTGTGCAAATAAAAAAATATATATATAAAATTAAATTTTACTTCATTAATTTGCAATATTTTAAGTTTTAAATAGATTTAATTAATCATCAAATATTTCTTTATTATAAAATTATTAATATTAGCAGTACTGTTGAAGGTGCATTGATTAATTCAGCCAATTAACTGCAGTAGCTAGTTCATCCTTATTAAAAGTATTGTGTAAATACAATACTATATGTATTATAATAGTGTTAAATTGTGGAAATTTTGAATTATATTTAAGAAAATTTTTTAATTTTAATGCATCAGTTTTGTTTGTTATTTGCAAGTAACTCATTCATATATGTAAGAAATATTAAATTAGATCATTTTAACAATATTTCGGTTAAATATTAATAAAATATTGCATTTAAATTATTATTGTTGCAAAACACATGGTATTAGTATTGATTTGTGTGCAAAATCTTATGTTGATGTGTTTTCAAATATTGATGTTTTTGATAAACATATTTCAAATTATTTAATAAAATTTAATTTAAATATAATTTTGAAGGTGTAAAGTGTCATTATGTGAATTGTTTTTTAATATTTTCAAAATTATGTTTTATATTTTTTAATCAGAATTTAAATGTGTCTAATTGTTGTATTCTTTTTAACAACACATTATGTATTTTCATTAATTCTCATTTATTTACTAAGCTACAACTGTACTGTGCCTCATAATTCTTTGAATTTTCTATTTGTAACAAATATCTAATGACCAACAATCTTTTTATTTTATTAATTTTTTTGGATAAAAGTGATGAAGGGATACAAAAATCCAAAATGCATTGTATAATATGAATATTGTACAACAGTTTGTGAAACAAATAGATTACACGATAAGTATTGATCATTAAACATTTTCTCTAGAGAATTCAAGGAATCAATCATTTTTACTCTTTCTATACACTGAGGCACTAAGAGGATTTTTTCCACACTTATCATGGTCCAACAATGGGGTGACTGGGATGTTAGAGACAAGGTCCAACTTATGTAAGCTAATCTCCCCATGAAAATGTCTAATATCTAATCCAGATTTGATGCTGGATCACTCAGAGCAAGATGATGACTCCTTTATCACTTCAGCCATCTGGTCATTTAAACATCCCCATTAAGAAAATTTATATAAATGTGAATTTTGTTTAAAAATTAAATAAGCTTTTCTGGAGTTTACATCTTTATTTAGGAAAAGCAGTGTTTGAGTGAATATGTGAAGTTTTTTGTATTTCAAACAGATCTATTAGAGATTAGATTGTAGAATTGTAAAAGTTAAAGATGAAATAAAATGGAAGGATATAAAATGAAAATGAAAAAATATATAAATAAAATATTTCTATAATATTAATTTAGTCTTATGTAGTGAATGAAATTATAGATTGATTTTTTTTCAGGTTGTAACTACTATTTTCATGTCATATACATTTAGTTACATTGTAATATAGATATTGTCTGACAAAATATATGTTTTTGCTATTCATAAACAAGCTTTGATGTTCTATTTAGATGTAAAATTAATATATGTTTTATGATTAGGTATACATTAAAATAATAATAAAATATCAGTTTAAGACATATATTTGTACTGCATAATTATTATTTACAATGAATATACTTGTCATAAACTTGAAACATTACATTTTACAATGGTAAATTTGTAATCTATCTTAAACTGTATACTTTAATAGCATTTTTACATAAATGTATTATTAATGTAAAAACAATGAATTTTTTATAAACTTTATTGGTATTTACTGGAATTTGTCATTGTTTGTACACTGAAGAAATCAATAACCAGATTGCCAAGGTTAACTAGCACTGCTATCAACTACTTTCAACGAAAATTACTAATGACTAATATTTTCAACTACATAATTGGTTATCTTCAAATTAACTTATTAATAAAAAATATATAATCATAATTATGCCCACTCTGGTGACCAAATGTTGTTTCTAGCTCACCAGATCATGAATTTGATTCTTGTTTCAGGCATGTGGATAGTCGTAATTGTTTTAATGGGATTATTTGTTTGGGAATGATCCAAAACCAACATAAATTACTGTATTTTAAAATTATAGTGGAAGCAAAGATTATATAATAGTTAGAAAATAGATAATTTGATGTTACGTGATTTTTATTATATAAATGTCTTTTAATGTAGAAATGTTGTTTTAATACAGCATAATTGTTTTTAACTTTACATTTGTTTTAAATTATTGTATAAAGAATAGAATGTAGAATTTAAAACAAAACATTTCAACAGTAACTGTTTTTAGTTGGTTTGAATGTGCTATTGTATATGATTTAATTGTTGTAAATCTATAAATCTACCTTTGTATATTTTCTCTTGAAAAGAAAAAATGATAACTTTACGTTTTAAATTAAAATTTTTCAAAAGAAATTTTTTGCAATTCTTTAAAAAGAAAATTATCTATTTATGTTTTCATACTTGTTATAGAGAAATTTTTTATTACAGTCATCATTTCAACCTGAATCCTTGTGTGTGTTTTTTTGGTAGTAATGGCAGATTTTACATATGTATATTTTTTTTTAATTAATTATTCAAAAGCAGAGTCTAACTTTTTATTTAAAAGAAAACATTTTATCAAAGATAGACACAAAAAATTCTGACGGACAGATAATAGAAAAAAAAAAGAAAATTTTTTTTAATGTTGAATTTTAAAGAATTATCCAATTTTGAATTATCTTATTCTTGTCATTATATTTTCAGTTTGTTTATTAAAGTTTTGCAAAAATTGAAAAAGAATTTTATAAATCTATTGAATAGCTCAATTTAACATCTAATACATTTTTTAAATGTTTTAAATATTAGTTTCATATCCTGCTTGAATATCCTATATGTTGAAATAAGAGTATTTTTTATTCCTTACATTTCTAAAATATAATGTAATTAATATTGGTACTGTATATGATATTTTTGTATCTAGGAAATCAAATATACACTTATAATAAAAGTGTTTTTGTATATAAAATAATCCAAAAATTAGTTAACCTTTATTATGTTATTCAACTAATTTAATCATGTCTTCACTAATTTTGCAAAAGAAAAATATGTGCATACCCTTAGTTTTCTTGTAGCAGAGTGCTGGAGGAAAATTAAAATTCCTATATAGTAGTGGAAGAAACACTGAGTAGAAAAGTATATATATTAAAATCATCAAAGAGATAAATCAATTAATATCAAAGAAAAATATGTTCTAAACTTAGTTAATGATTCATATTCACAAATGCATTGGAAACACATGAAAGTAAAACAAGGTTGAGTGACTTTTGAGCCATCCTATCTAAGCAAAACAAAAATTTTTTTTTAATAGAAATAAACTTTCACTCTGAAAAATGTCCAGCTTTAATATATATGAGTTCTCTGAACTCTCAATAGTTACATATATATTTTATAAACAATTTTGTAACATTCTTTACTCTAAAATAATTAAATGTGTTGAGTTATTTATTTAATAAATCAAAATAAAATCGAGAAGGATCTAGAGATCAAACTATCTTTCAACGTAATATATTTCTTAATGATTGACATTTAATCAATTTGATCAGTAAAGAATAAACATGTCAAAAAATAACTTAACTTGTAGATAATTTTAGTTTTATATTTAAGTATTTACTGATTTTTTTAACGTTTTATTTTAAAGTAATTATAAATTTGCAAAAAGTATAAAAATATTTTTATTTGAATTTATTAAACTTTATGCAATTATTTGATGAAATAAAACTTTTTTTTTTAGGATATCAAATCATTTGAAAGCAGAGAATCAGATTTAAATTTGAGAGGTAATAAAATTATTTTGAATTTTTATTAATTTTTAAAATAATTTAAATTGTTTCCTTCTGATATAAACATAAAATAATTTTTTATAGTAAAAATATTTGCAATTCTTATAGGGGAACATCTAGATTCCTGGCAATGCGAAACTCTAGAAGAAATATTTAAAAGAATTCAATTCAACAAAGTGGATTTTGAAGCATGTCAATTAGATGACGAAGTAATTACTTATATGAAATAATTAAAATGGTTAAGTTACTCTAATATCTTATTGAAATTTTTATTAGAATTTTATAAGTATAATGACATTTTTTTTTTAAGTTTTAATAATTTACTTGAATTTATTTTCAATTTATGAGAATCTATAATAGAATTTAAATTCAAAGTATTGAAAATTAATCAATAAATATAAATAAGTTAAATATTAGAAACAGGAAATTGAAATAATTATCAAGCAGTAAGAAAGAATACTTGATATAAAAGATGGCCCAAAACTCAGCTAACCAAGATATATTTTAAGAATGGTTAAAAACTGGTTTGGAACATGAAACTGTTCCAAATTTGTTATACTTGGTTTTAAAATAATCTTAAAATGTATCTCGGTTAACTGAAATGTGGGCCATCGTAATATTTTTATAGCTTTTTTTCCTTATTAATTCAATCAGTTTATGTTAAATAGCTTATAATATAAATAGTGTTTGCATTAAATAATTTAAAAATATAGTAAATTAAATTCATAATTATACATGTAAAAAGTTTGGAAATATGTAGAGATGCCTAAAAATCAATTAACTGAGATAATAATTTAATATTTTGAGATTATTTTAATTATAGAAATTTATCTTGGTTAATTGACTTTTGGGGCCACTGTATAATAGTTCTCCCATGTATTAACACCTTTTTAGTAATATATTGATAATGTAAAGAAGAAAATATTAAATCTAAAATAGAATAATGGAATAATAAAGCATTCATTCTCACTTACAGATTTTGTAAAATCTAAAATTGTTAATAAAGTTGGAATTTTTTTTTCTAAGTTTAGAAAATATAACATACATAATTAATGTAGATACTGTATATAAATCTAAGATTAATTACAAGATAAACTGAAAATTTGTAGTGAATACGAACAAAGATTTCTATTTTCCTTGTTGTGAATTGTTTTACACTATTGGAAAAATTTTTCATCAATAATTTATTTAAGAAACTTCAGCTATAGATAACAATAAATAGAATGGTTACTTTATAAAGTCATTATTATTAAAATTTATATGAATAGTTTTCTGAAAAATAAGTTGAACTGTTTGTAATATTTTAAGGTCATCTTGGACCAAACTTTACTAGACTTGGTTTTTTTTTTGGGCACAAAAGTTTCCTTTATAATTTAAAAATATAAGAAAGTAAAATGTCAATATAAATTTTTTATTAATTAAAAAATATATCAATTATATTTTGTATATCTTTTTGCTTTAACTCTTGTTTGATTTTTTTCAAAAACTAACTTTTAGTACATCTATTATGGATGATACCTATTCTAGAGAATAGTAGAATTGATTACTCAATATATTAGTATATTTTCAATGAGATTGTCAAAATTTTTCTCTTCTAGTTAAAAAATTGTACAATGATAATTATTTCAAATTAATACTTAAATTAAGTTTATTTGATGTTATATCCTTTCTTCATGTAGCTATTTTTTCTGTAGTGTGGATTAAGCAATAAAAGTACAGTGATACCCCGAACTTACGCGATAGGTGGAACCGAGCAATAACCACGTAAGTCGAATTCGCATAAGTCGGGGTATAATTTCGCAATTTGTGTAAAATCCAAGTCGGATGTATGTAAGCTAATAAATATTCTCATTAATCTTATCTCGTCTTTTGATTCGTTCATGGTTACAAGAAATCACCACATAGAGTCTTTCAAGTCTCCATAGATATAACAAACACAGAAATAAATAACACAAAAGAAATTGTAGCTATGTGTCGATTCCGTGCAACACATCCGAACATGTAAGCTGAACAATAATGTGGGGAAGAGTGAGTAATCAAGAGTTGCATGGCGCTCAAACAAAAGATGAACCGAAGAGATTTGAAAATCACGTAACTCCGGGTTTGCGTAAGTCAGAGTAGCGTAAGTCGAGGTATTACTGTAATTCAAAATGGATTTTTATTTTCTTGCTCAAGTACTTTTCTGAAGAAATTTGCACTAATTAATTCTGGTACAGAAGTGTATGTAGTAAATCAAATTATGACTGTAACCCGAAATCAAATCATATAAATAATAATATTCATTATTTTTTGCTTTGAATGAATTTAATAGATATTAATCATGATTTAATTTACCTAATTAATAACTGATTAAAAATTAGCAGACTGTGTGAGTATGTTTGCTCTCTCATGAATAATAATTCAACAAGCATGAATATCCATTTATGAAGAAGAAGAGAGTGAATTCATGTCCACTGTCTGACAAACAAGGAAAAGTGACACAATAAACTGTATTACTGCATTTATTAACGCAAAGAAAAAAAAGCAATTTTAAAACTAGCTTCCACTTGTACTTAAGTGATTTAATTTTTATAAAACTTTTAAAGTCAAAAACTAAGCTAGTAATTTTTTTATTCAAGAAGAAAATTTTCTTAGAAAGTAGACATTTCCTCGCAAAACAGACAAATTACAAAATAAAAAGGAAAAGAGAAATCATTTTTAAACTTTAGATTCAGCTAAAATTTTAAACTTTTAGTTATTAGTTAAGCACAATTTTATAGTTACAACATTAAAAAAAAAGAAAATAAACCAAAATAAAGTTTAAAAGTGAGTACTTTTGTTCTTTACATCAGAACGTCTTCAAGCTTATAAATTCTAAAACAAATACAACAGAATTGAACAGATACAAATTATACATTACCATAGCAACATACACATACTTTACAATTATTTTTAAAAGACTTTTCTTGGCTTCTGTAATAAATTGTCACGTTTAAAAGTATAATATTAACAGAATGTACATAAACTTAAATACAACTTGATGTGTGTTTGGTTAGCACAATGTTGCTGTTGAGAACGTATCATACAGGAACACTTTAAGAGGAAAAAGGTTGCTTTATTGACTTGGACGGATATGCATTTCGTGCTTAATGCCCCTCTTCAGTCCTATTATTAATACATAATTATCAAATTGGTTACAGGTATCAAAATTTATAGAATTCATTTAAAAATTTAGTATACGCGTACAGTGATTTATATGATAAAATACAATTACCTGAGATAGTGACCAATAAGCTGGTATTACACATAAGATATATATACACATATTTAAACACGGGAGGAGGAATGAGCAAATAGTGCTATCAGATCAATATACATGCACCTGAGGATAGTATAATGTGTGTTAACACCATATAACATATAACAAATGTTATATGGTGTTAAGATCTTAACACCATATAACATTATTTTAGCTCCCACACTAAACAATAAAATCAAAAATTCCTTAAAAATCAATGAACAAAGTAATAGTAACACAGACATTTTACTTAATAACAATCTAGTCTACAGCTTTGCCTGTACTTGTCATCCTAAATTCTATTACATAGGTGAAACCAGTAGAGTACTAAAAACCCGGATAAATGAACATATTAGAGCCATAAAATATAATTACATCAACTCTGCAGTTGCTACTCATTGCAACCAAACTGGCTG